AGAACTAGAAGACGCTTTCATTCGCAAGACGAGCGTGAGGGTTAACTTCACTGCTGCTGTAAATACGGATATGCTGGAAGAAATATTTACATTCTCAAAAGGTTTCGCCATACAGAGGAAAGTGTCTGTTGGGTCTGTGGATGAAATATTGTGGGGAAATATACAGCTATTGCAGAGACTAACGGCCCCCTTAGAATGAGCAGACTTTTGCACTATCCGAAAGGATTTCGCTGCTGGAGCTTAGAGACCAGTGGTTTTGTTCGTCGTTTCAATGCTGACTATTCCTAGCCATTGTTTCCATATCCACACCTGAATAGCTTATTGGAAATATCACAACGAACTTGTTTTGGTCAACTATCCCCCTGAAGCATTGATGAATCATAATATTCGCAGTCTCAGAACGTTCTCAGTAAGCCATCAAAATGATCATTATGAAAGACGTCAAACTTTCCAGCCGTCGGAAGATCTGAGACTACTACTGATAAGATTTTTTCTTCAGTAATCTAACTCTCCTAAGTGTCCCAAAAAGTCAGGTTTCACTTATGAATTCTCGGAAAGTCTGATGAATTTGAAAAAGTGGCTTTTTGAGTCGCCTTGCTAGAACAGTGGTGATTAGTCCGTAGATTTCAGTGAAGCACTCAGATTCAAAACAATTCTTTCAAGCCCTGAGAACTCCTTACATATCACCCGCGTAAACTCATCTTTCCATTATCCACAGTGCGATGCTTTTGCTTGATTGGACACCAGCCTATGTCTGCTGGTTGTATGGTAAGTGGCTGAAGTCGCCTCACCAACAGCGACGTGACTTTCGCTTATGAGGTTCGTAACATCCGTGTAGAGATTTAATTGCGATGTTTCCGAACAGCCATTTTTCACAAAAACATTAATGTATCTTCCTTATTGCGTAAAAATTCAATCCACCGGCAAGTATATTTGCGGTCATCTAAATGAAAATGAGGCTGAAAAGCACCCACCAGTGACAATGGGTAGAATAGTCACACGAGTTAGCAAAGGACTGTACTTGTTAATGACGTCAAGGAAATATAATACCAGGTTCCTTGTACAAATTTTGGCTTGTACTCATCAGCGCTGGTCTGAAATTCTTGGGGATTTGGGCCATTAGTCGCGATTTATCTAATTGCTTACCATCGGTTTACTAAGTATGTGAAGCGAACCGCTTCTAGTCAGTTCATGTGGACACCCGATACAACCAAACCCCTAAATCCCACTGTGAAAATGAAGGATGCGACAAAAAATTGCAACCACAATCAATGATCCTATCAGTCGCGAGTGAAAAAGAACACTGCACAATAGACATTATTCTTTGAAACAGTGTCGCCAATACTTATACTCACTTGTTGGAATCTTTGCTGAAGAACAGTCCGTTATAGAATGTCAGCGTACCTTGTCAGACTATCCCTGCCCCACTGAAATGTACGACCGTTGCTAGCAATGTTGAACCTGGTCTGGCTTGTTTATTAGTCTGGAGCATACTGCAGGCCATATGGGTGAGGCCGGCTGACAGCCGTATTTGTTCTGTTGTTTACGGAGGCTAACACCCGAGTTGTAAAACTGCATACGAAGGGAGGCTAAAGTAAGCTGAACGACACCGTTCCTTGTCACTTCGTCTAAGTAATCGATCAGCTGGACTGACTGACCTTGTTTAACTTCATTGAGTGGATAGATTAGTTTTCTGTTTATATGGATCCAGCCAGTTATACATGGGGCATACTGTCGACCATGTTTGTGCTCGCCGGTAAGCACTAATTCCAGAATGTTACTGACAACGGCACGACATCGCGAACACTGTGTGCCAACCAATGTCTGAAAAACTGGTGATGCGATCAATCCAATCTTTTGAAAAGGGTAAATTACATCTCAGAGTTGAAATCGTTCTGGTCTGCAAGATCAGGTGACAGCTTTGTGTGCAAGCCCAGATCATCCTATGTTCCAACAGTCACCAAAAAACAATAACTACAGGCCGCGTCAATGCTGTGAAATGACCCTTAATCATTCAACAAAGTGGCTAGCGTCATCGTACGTTTTGATGTCAATTCGTTGTACACAAATGTTCCAAAAGGGGACACCAGAAATGGCCAAGTAACTGCTACTAGCAGGCACCACCAATTCAGAATGGACAGTTTACGGTGGATAAAATAGTGGGAGGCATAAGAGCATGGTTAAATCTCACCCATTTCGTTTTTGACTTCGTCCGTTACACTCAAGAACAAGGTCTACCAACGGGATCTACAGTATCCCCGGTTTTGGCGAACACATTTATGGAAGAATTTGGACAGAAGGCTTTGGCGGGATTCCCATACCCGGATGATACTTTCTTTCGTCGTGGTGAAACCAGACAAGGTCTGCAAGTTTTACAATTATCCAAATGAACTAAGCCCACACATCAAATTTAGTATGGAGATGGGGTCAATAGATGTAGAAAATGTTAAGGTTCTGAGGTGAGGGCAACGGTCCACGCCACTGAGATAGGCGGTGAAAATCGCTAAGCATATCAGTGTAAGTAGGATGAGAAGCATAGAACTGGCAGGCGCGTGGTGAACGGTTACGGGTCAGCCGAGGTGACGCGTGTTGTTGTGCGGTTATCAGAATGAGATATCAATACAAGTGGCTTAGATCTGAATCGCACTTAATCTCATCTAACTCTCTACCCCCACCCAACCAGAGTACCGTAACACTCACAAGGTTACCCAGACCAACTAATTCTAAAAAGTGAATCATCAATTAAAGGACCTTGGAATTGAAGATTAAGGAATCAAACCCGATTGTAACTAACTAATTTGAAATTTCCCAGCCCACCATCGCAAGATTTAGGCAACCGACAAGAACCGTTAATTGACGCTCAACACTGATTTGGTGGGCTAATACGAAGACCTCGTACGAAGAACTCGCCGTCTGCCTTAAAAACCTGACCAACTTGACCTGCTCACTTGGTCTGATGAAGCTTTCGTCAAAAGCGAATAGTTGCCCAATTAAAAACATAGAATTTTTGTCAATCCCTTGTTAAGTGAAGCACCAACCAGCCATTTTTGCGCTTAGCATCTTCTAACACATCTGGAAGGTATGGTTCCTGAGGTCGGTGCCTTAATTAGCTGTGAAAGTTATCGAAAGTAGACACTGTAAGTCGCCTTTCAGATTCGGAATTCTACGAATGAAAGCGAATCAACCTGAAGTTAATATATAGCCTTACTCAGTCCGTGATTATTTTCCGCCTGAATCTTTGCACAAACAATGAAGGAATGAGTTAATCGGCTCCATCTATGGGTTATTCTTTGCTTTCCACGTGGAATATTTCAGTGCTATCACTCTGCCATAGTAGGCAAACAAATCTCCAAGTTCCGAGAACACATGGTTGTTAATACGCTGGATATAGCCAATGGATTGGTGTAGCCGCCAGTACCACAGTTGATAAATGGTCGGAAGGAGTTTGGTCCAGTAAGCCTGCGAACCTAATAAGCTTACGGAGTTCCACATATTGTCGTCTAAGCTGATCCCACAAATTCGCGGATCGCAGAAGCTGGGGAGTTGTACCTTGAACAGGATCGGAATCATGTCTCCCTGAAACGAAGATGAGATTTATCACAATTAAATTTTGTATGAAACAACCGGGGCTTTTGTCTATTGTCCCATCGGGTTAATTCAGATTTAAGGAGCTGTGTTAGATAACCAAGCAGAAGGATAGGAACGATCTCAGGAAGGTGGAGTCAGAATTGCTCGTAAAGCTAAACCTTCCATTGCACTGTGACAAGACAAAAAGCAATAAATCCGAGACGCCAATTCTTTGCAAACAGTGCACATAATTGCCTGTTAATAAAATTGGACCCGGTGTTATCCAAAAGTCATCGGTCAATAATTTACTGGACTTTGTCACCAGTCCAAGTTTGGAGAGTGCATAGTATATGAGACAAGATGATTTTGCATCAATTTTTACGGGATCTGCAGTGACTTTTCCCCTTTTGTTTTCAAAGCTCCCTACACATTATGATCAGAGATTCATACAACCAAAATCAATTTCCACGGACTTTTGTCTCGATTCAACTCATATCATAGGTAGAACAAGATGAACATATGCTTACTCAAGTCTGTATCAAATTATTTATACCTGTTGCTAAACCTTTCCTAAGATCATCCACAACCCACCGGTGGCAACCTGAATCACTGAATCATTGATCCATATAAAATGGTAGTGCTGTACTGATGGTTGATCATGTGCAGAAGTTTGTCGTTAGCTGAATGAAGCTCATGCGGGCAAAATTTTCATGATCGCACTACCTAAGAAATGGGTACCAAGATAGAAAAAAAGAGTAATTTGCTTCTGGTACGTAGCGCCACCAACTTGCCGGCTTTCTGGTATACGCATGATAGGAAAGATCAATATACCTTTGTATGGCTGTGCTACCAGAAAACTAACACCCGAGATGACACTCGAGAACTTGTGTAGGCATCCGGACGTACTGACTCTTTTTCCATTCCGTTTCGTGTTTTTAAACTAGATTTCATCCATCAGTCTCGTTAGTTAAAGCGTTAAAATGCACTACATGTGAGAGGCAATTGGATGTGACGACAATATACTTTCCGGGAGGATTCTCACGAATGTTTGGAATTTGGTTTAAGATACGCCATATTCAGTAGCTAACGATATGAAACAGATCCAATGCTGCCTTCTAATGAAACTGGATTCACGCATCTCATCCGGGCCGAACTTGTGACAAAAAGTCCCTTTATTCACTGACCATAGATAGAATCACCAATTCAAACAAGTCATCTTTCTGCTCATTGAAGTAAACCTTATGAATGCACTTGCGCTGTACAGCAGAGCGTCATTTACACAGTATTGAAAGTGTGTATCACAGATGAAGCCAGCGAGAGCTGACGATAGTAGTCCCTGAGATTTCAATAGTCGCTGTATTTGTTTACAGTTGATGAACAATACTTCCAGCCTTGAAACCGGGATAATGAATGACTTAGGATTGACTGTTCATCTAAGTGACACCATCCACCAACATCAGGGAGACTCCATCGAGTACTGCCAACCGTATGTCTCCTGAACCTGTATGTTTTGCAACGGAGTTGTCTCCTGGCAGCTGTAGAGGGGGATTGCCTGGGCGAATGATCCCAAAACAGATGGATTCATCTAAAGGTTCGGAGGATTCAGACAAGAAAAGTGTGTCATTTGCTTCTGCTGGTTTGGGCTTGGTCAGCGCTAAATTTTGACAGATTTCTCCAATTCGTTTTTCCTGTGGTAGATTGAGAACAATCGGTGTATCCCACTTGAATTGTTTTGGCTTAGTCGTGCTCACATCTGTCAACAAAACACCGGGACGTTTAGGGCATTCGGTGGGGCGCGTTGGGTTTTGATTCAAATAATCCGCCGAACTCGAGGTTGTTAAATTTGCTTCGCATGGTACTGGTACACTGAAACGCGAGATTTTCCGGTCCACTTCAGAATAGCTCATAGGGGAACCTGATGCTTTGCTAATACTGGCGTATGGAGTAACGTTTCTGATGGGAATTTGGTGTACATCCACGGCGCTTTTGTTCCTCATCTGTTCATGAACGAGAACTGATCGAGCTTTCTTCCCAATAATCGTGATCATAAGACTGCGAAATAACCCATTACTAACCGTACGCTGACGGAAGCGTGCTCTCACTGGTTCTTTGTTGAGGTTAGGCTGATGTACATCATGTTTCGAATTTTCCGCGACGACAGGTTTCTCGCCGTATGAGGTCATGCGCAAAACTGTAAGCTCCGCCGTTGGCTGCATGCTGTTCCGTAGAATTTGTAGCTTGCTTATAGATATTCGTAATATGAGTTCCAACGCAGTAGGGGACATATCTATCCACAGTGGATCTAAGCAGTTGGGTTTGGACACAAACATTTGTCTGGCAGTAGATAACTGAGATGAAATGATTCGCGTGAGCCGCCTCACACTATTTGAACGCAAATTCAGCTATGTCGGTCAGACTTTGAGCAAGGCTGCTGTGCTGTATATGGGGGACCGTGCAGTTGACCTCCATAGAAAAGCAATCTGTTATATAAACCAATCGTCACTCATTGCCACATCAGCTATGCAAAGTACGATACGCTGTTTATTTGACAGAATTCTAGTGGATCAATGTTTAAGCAGAAAGCTGATTGGTCCAGACATTCTAGTTCAATCAACTCGCTACAGTGTGCGTCACCCGCTTCGCGTGTGTTCAGCCTACGCAACTGGCATGCTTCGCGGTTCTCTTTTTAGATCAAGCAAGGCGTGTTAGTGACGTCACTGAGAAAATGTGGTCGTGAATGCCTTGGTTCCGAAAAACGTTTCTTCCAATGATTTAACAGATGGATGCATTGTCCAAATTTGCACGTGCACAGAGGAATTCATACAAGAGATTGTACATAGCTGTCATTTTGTCATAAAGGACGATGCAGGTCAATGCTGGACAGACGCTCGTGACCAAAAGTAAGGCGTTTAGCTACTTACCGGATTAGATATTCAAAACTTTTCATTGGCTCTCAACAAAGAAACCGCTGTGGAGTGCTTATGGGCTTTTCAGCGCAGATTGATGTCACTTGCACAACTAAGCCTTCATTGGACCTTCAGAATCTCCTGGTTACGTATAAACTCCAAGATTTTTTGTTTAGAAACTAAGAACCCCACAAGTTGCAAGTACTTCCATTTGAGAAGCGGACACACGGAGAGCCAGTGAGCATCAGAGCAGCGGTGTGAACTTTATGATCGAGCAGTGGCGGTTTTATGACGTCTAAGTTTGGGCTAAGCACACTGTGAGTCGACCACTAGCCGAATTTCATAGCTGTTAACAATTAAAGGGCAGTTCTCGGGTTGGAACCCTTCCTCCCAAAAAAGCTTGCGTTGGTGCTGCCGGTGGTTCCAGAAGTGGAAAGAACATCCTTACAGTTCTTTGGTTTTCGCCACAGAGTAGTTTCGCGAAAACCAAATATGATTTGCAAATTAGTGTGTTTGTCGCAATCAGTTCAATTCGGGTTCACGTAGAATATAGGGTTGATGTAAACTCGGGGACTGCGCCCACCCGATGAGCCCCAAGAAGGGCGAAACCGGTCATGCGCTGTCGAAGAGTTTCCATCAACCTTGTGAGTAGTGAGTGGAACCGTCTCAAAATCAGGTACCTTCCAGAAACATTGCCATTTAGAACAGGTGAAAATGTTGAACAATACCCATTCGGTCAGACAGTAAGGGACACTGAATAAAATTCATAGAATTTTCCCTAGACCGGTCATGGCTGTCGAAGAGTTTCCATCAACCTTGTGAGTAGTGAGTGGAACCGTCTCAAAATCAGGTACCTTCCAGAAACATTGCCATTTAGAACAGGTGAAAATGTTGAACAATACCCATTCGGTCAGACAGTAAGGGACACTGAATAAAATTCATAGAATTTTCCCTAGGATGTTACAACATTTTCGGTCCATCCATCGAAATATCTATCTATCTATCTATCTATCTATCAATCTAATCTATCTATCTATCTATCTATCTAATCTATCTATCTATCTATCTATCTAATCTATCTATCTATCTATCTATCTAATCTATCTATCTATCTATCTATCTAATCTATCTATCTATCTATCTATCTAATCTATCTATCTATCTATCTATCTAATCTATCTATCTATCTATCTATCTAATCTATCTATCTATCTATCTATCTAATCTATCTATCTATCTATCTATCTAATCTATCTATCTATCTATCTATCTACCTATCTATCTATCTATCTATCTATCTAACTACCTATCTATCTTATCTATCTATCTATCTATCTATCTATCTATCTATCTATCTATCTATCTATCTATCTATCTATCTATCTATCTATCTATCTATCTATCTATCTATCTATCTATCTATCTATCTATCTATCTATCTATCTATCTATCTATCTATCTATCTATCTATCTATCTATCTATCTATCTATCTATCTATCTATCTATCTATCTATCTATCTATCTATCTATCTATCTATCTATCTATCTATCTATCTATCTATCTATCTATCTATCTATCTATCTATCTATCTATCTATCTATCTATCTATCTATCTATCTATCTATCTATCTATCTATCTATCTATCTATCTATCTATCTATCTATCTATCTATCTATCTATCTATCTATCTATCTATCTATCTATCTATCTATCTATCTATCTATCTATCTATCTATCTATCTATCTATCTATCTATCTATCTATCTATCTATCTATCTATCTATCTATCTATCTATCTATCTATCTATCTATCTATCTATCTATCTATCTATCTATCTATCTATCTATCTATCTATCTATCTATCTATCTATCTATCTATCTATCTATCTATCTATCTATCTATCTATCTATCTATCTATCTATCTATCTATCTATCTATCTATCTATCTATCTATCTATCTATCTATCTATCTATCTATCTATCTATCTATCTATCTATCTATCTATCTATCTATCTATCTATCTATCTATCTATCTATCTATCTATCTATCTATCTATCTATCTATCTATCTATCTATCTATCTATCTATCTATCTATCTATCTATCTATCTATCTCAAAACCCTTAGGAATATACATCAAAAACACATGTTTGAAGTTGGAATTATTTTAAATGACGCTTTGAGTGCAAACCATCATACCAATGGAAGCCTGGTCACCATTAGTTCGCTTGACGCGGGGTGAGGTGCGTACTACCCTTAAGCGCATGTTATTTTCTCCAATCTAAGCAGACAAAAGGGTGTTGAGGCTTTTCCCAAGGTTGGTTTCTCGAAGCGGCACATTATGTGAGTATTCCTGCTAGCTGTTCTATTAACTACATAAGGCAGACAATTCCCGAAATGTATATTGACATTCTATTGCAACCAACTATCTATACTCGTCTTGGGATTATCCAGCCTGATAACGCTATTCACACTTCTCCAACTAGGGCTTGCCGTGGATGCGTTATTCGATAGATTTATCAAGTTAGCTGGTATATCGGAAGATTTCATGTGGTAGTGTTCGAATGTTGAAATCTGATAAAAACACTAAGAAGTATGTGTGATATCATTTGTCTACGGTGTCTACGGTGGCAACACTGGTGGAAACTTTGAGTACTCCTAATGGTTTACTGGCTGTCTGTGTGCTACTATCAGGAAGGTTAGATTCCTGAAAGCAACCACTGAATGCCCGAAATTTACTGAGACCCTCAGCTGCGCCAGATGCTGACCAGATACACAACGCCCCCGCAATATGCAGCGCGTCACAGTCTCGTATCAAAGTCAGAGAGTGTGCGTCAGCATTGGACCAATTTCAGACGGTTCCCCCACCCCCCATAAATCGCTTGAGGCCGCTGTATTTTCGCACCCGCACGCACTCACCCCATCGCATTCGCTTGTTTGGAATACAACTGTTATCTTCCCTTCTGTGAATCTTTTCTTCGGCACTAGGCACTGGAGCAGGGGAATTTTATTTGATTCACTTGCGGTCGTCAGTCATTTTGCTGAGTAGAAAAAGCTGAGCTGTCATTCTCACTGTTACCATGCTGTTGACCTTGATTCATACAAATGACCCAGCCTAAGCTGACGTTTTACGCATCATTTGCGTCACAGAAGTTCACATCTACATGGGCTGTGAATGTGCACAAATTCCAGTTAAGTGCAAACGTCATCCGTGCATTAGAATATTGCTGTTTGAATCGGTATAACGGCAGGGAACCACTGTTTATCCATTCGACCGGATTATTGCAGCCAAGTTAAGAATGACTAGTTACATTCAGGTTCTCAGTTAAGCGGGGCTGTTTTGTGAACCGCAGGATCATCGACCACTACCCCGAACCCGCGCTTTATTTCGACCATTGTCATTGCATATAGTGGTATCTCACGTCATTACGCGTATCGCAGATGGACAGCCCTTAATTTTAGTGAACACACCGAAATCACTGAGTTACAAACCCATAGAAACGTTATGCAGCTGATGCGCGGCTGGTTGGCCAGGATAATTGCAACACAAACTTACAAGTTTCTCTGAACACAAAGTGAAAGATCAAACAAGCGAAGTACACTTACCCCAAGAGGTTCACAACTCTTGCACTTGAGTGAGCCTACATGGTACCCAGGTACTTGAAAGATCTTTTTAGACGCCTCCGACAACTGAATTCCATCGATAGTCTCGGTTATACACGCCGCATCTGCATCGTTGACGGATTCTTAACACTAGGTACCCGATGCCTCCGCTTCCAAAACTTCACTCAGTGGTCCTGTTGCTGTGGTATATTGTACCTGTTTACCACGGAATGAAGTGTCGCTCAGCAGTTCAGTTCATCAGCAGTTCATCAGTTCAGACTCATGATGCTGTTCAACGCACTCGCAGAAGTCTGTCAGTCTTTAGCGGCTCTGTTAACTACAGCATTCACATCACATTCCCGACCACCCAAGATATCGACCCGGTAGCTTGTTCACACGAGGTTGCCTAGACATGTGACCATGTAAGCATGTGGAGAGAGTCGTATCCGTGCTTAGGAGGGCAGAAGTATTGACTGTTTGATATTTGGTATACATGGTTGTTGGTCTGCTGACCGAGCTTAGCAGTTAGACTGCAAATGTTTTATCGCCAATTGCGGGGAGGTCGTAGAGAATGCGACTTAGCTGTCGAGCGGATGCCAGGTGACTTCAGAAAGTCTCCCATCACCGGGCTCTCCTAGAAGTATAGAGCCGAACAAACGGATTACTATGCAGTTAGGCTAGATGGCTCCGTGGTTAGATTGCGAACTTTTTGGCCAGGAGGTCTGTGGTTCGAACATGATCTCTGCCTCTAGACTTCCCCTGTCTAAGCTTGGGCAACCCGGCTCACAGCTGACAATTATCTTATTTCCATACAGTGTATCCTTTGGACCATCAATGCGAAAATCCTGAAGCGTGTAATCTTGACACACAAGACGGTAAGCGCACGA